GATATACAACAAGATGTGTATCCACAATGGCGGGTGCCTTGAGGGGGGACATATCTTACTTTATCCTGTCCTTTGTCCTTCGTAATACCACCACTATCACATCACATTGACAGAAAGTACAAAAACACACAATGTCATACAGCAAAAGAGCACACGACTGTGTCACACGCGTCATCTGGCACAGTTTTAAAATCAGCGTATTTCTCATAACCTGGCAATCAATAAAAAATGTAATAAAATACATCAAACCAGAGCAACTGGTTATTAAATGTATTCATGAATGCAAATCGGTACGGAAATGTTTCGCTTATCAAAGTTCGCTGTCACAAGTTTTGCTCTGACCAAACAGATGACTGCAAAATGTTGACATCATCAAGGGCCGGCTCCCTGGTCCCATGAGGACGAATTTGAAATCAGAGCGGTGAGAGAAACAATCCCATTTATAACACAGTTCATGTTGCGTCAGCCAGCAATACTGATTCTGATGGCCTGGAGCAAATTGACATGGCATCAAAGAGTCTGAAATCACATTGAACAAAAAATGAAATCAAATAAAAATCTAACAGCCACATACTATATGTGCTGTTATATTTTCGTTTTTTTCTTTAGAATGTTTTTTTTTTTTTTTAATCAGACATGCATACGACTTATCGATCGCAAGGACAGCCGTATATTAATTAATCTGTAGGCAATAATAAATTGTCCTCCATTGCTAATTGTTGGAGAGATTCTTGTCTGCATCATGACTACAGTCAAGGGACCCTTGAGGCAACCGCTTTGTAACTGGAAACAATTAACACACTTTGCTTACCATGCGAAAATGTCTTTCAAACACAAAAAAACAGCTTTATGGAACTGATTTGCAGGTCGACACGGTGACCCAAAATTATTGCATTTCATACTATGGCTGATCAAATTAGTATGAATTGTATTGATCTCACTTTTCAGATTATTTGAAAGGAAGGAATGAACAGAAGGAACCTTTAATAGATTATTTTGAAAATGCCTTAGAAGTGAAACCAATTTTCAGACCAATCTGTGCAGGCAAAATTTCAAAGGAAGTTCAATTTCAATTGTTGCTGACAAAATTCTGATATAAAAGTGGGTAAATAAGTTCAGTACTAAAATAACTATTCAGAACCATGCGTGCTAAAGCTGAAGGAGTCCAAAGTGGATAAGGTTTGTGTTAGAGGGTGGCTGAGAATGTTGCTGACAGGAACTCTGTCGCTCACAACCCGAATAAAATCGAGGCGCCTTTTGATTGTGGAGGATGAAGGGACGGATATGTCTCCAAATAAATTAATTACGGTACTTTTATTGGTTTGTCATTTAATGTTCCACATTCCCCCTGCCCTTTGAAAGCTCTCCAAGTGAGAAATGAATCTACCTCGAATGCTAAGCTTTTCTGAGGACTGCTTTCAATTAAAAGTCAACTTTTACGATCCTCACAAGTGCATCTCGGCTTTCTCATTTACTATCTTGTTTTAACATTTCGATTTCACTCTTGGTCTACTGGATGTCCATTTCTTTTGACCTTTTTTTCTCTCTCTTGCCTTCCTCTCTCTTCAGAATTGGCGTGATTAAACGGGGATTGTTGTGTGCCCACTGTGTATAATTGAGATAGGGCTCTGACTCTTCCTCCAATTACGATCACCATTTTTCAGCTCCCAAATTGGCTAATTAAGCCTTAAGGACACTGAGCTGCAGTTCCATTAAGCACCCAGAAAAGTCAGGAACGTCAGTGCTCTTTTTTTTTTTTTTTTTTACTGGGACATAGGAAGGAGCAGCTGGTTAAAGAATGGTTGCCAAGGTAACAGACACGTGCCGTGACATTCAATGCTACAGCTGTCAAAAGCTGTATTCATTTTTACAACAGAGGCAACAATTGTGCTCCAGATCACTACTTCTTGATGATGTACGTTGGGCAGAGCCCAAACAGAAGTTTTTCTACTTTCTGTTTCAGCCCCTGCAGGTAGCAGTCAATTTGATTGATTACTTTACACAATAGTCCGGCACTTGCTCGCTTATTTCAGCTCAGAAAATGAGAGTTCAATGATACATTACTCATTCGAGCCCATTTTACACAATACATTCCCCTATATTTCATGTGGGCATTTTTTTTGCAGCATTTGTGCGAAACAAAACAATCTCATTATTAAAAAAAAAAAAAAAATCAAGAATCTGAAGATATTCTCCAAAATATACCGGTACTGTAAATCTGCGCTCGCATCACAGAACAATTATGGATATATTGCAAAGGGATGGTCTATGGCGCAGGTCTCAAACTCAAGGCCCAGGGACCAGATCCGGCCCGCCGGGTCATTTTATGTGTGTCATCTAGCAAAAATCTGTACCGAAATGTCAGATTGTAATGTGTAATAAATAACGTTGAGATTTTGCAATAATTTTGTTTCCCTGTTTACACTCACTTGAACAATAATTGAACAAACTATTATAATCGACTTGACTGATTTGAAAACTAGTCATCTATTAATTTGTGGTGTACAAGTAATAATTTTGTAGTTTCACTGTCCTAACGGCCCTCCGAGGGAAGACGTAACTCCAAATTGGCCCGCGACTAAAATGAGTTTGACACCCTTGGTCTATGGCAATCTTTATCAGTACACAAATTCAAATGATGCCCAGGGTTCATCGGGTGGTTTCATTGGTTTTTGTGAAGATTTATATCACTTAAATGTTACCCTTTAGTCCATAATGACAGATCTTGTCACATTTTGAGCTGCAGTAAGCACTGGTCTACCACTGCCAAATACTACAGCAATCAGAATGAGAAAAGGTGTTTGAAGAGATTTCTGGTGTACGTTTCTGCCACTTTGATTCATCCAGTTTCTCCATAATGAATGATATTAGCAAAAATGGATATGTAGTATGCAAAGGTTTACCATTTCCAGCTACTACAGCAATCAGAATGAAAAAAAAAAATTTGATTTTAATTGATATATGGTGATTTGTGCCATTGCTCTTCACGGCGACCGTTTCTTCAGCACATCTAAACAAAGTTTTTTTGACTAGTCTTGTCAGTCCCAAATCATTTCCAGGCTAGGGATGTGGATTTGCGTTTTTCTATTAATTTAAATTAAAAAAATCACAGAGATGGGTAACTCGTCCATTTCTCCACTTTCTCAGATTGAGCCAGTGGTTTGTTCCAGTCAACTGGTTTCATTGAGTCACATGACTGAATGCTGCCCGCTGATGCGCAGAATAAAGACATCACTTCCTCTTCCTTTGTCGTCTATGCACACTGTTTGCCGAATGAGGACTTTCATCCTATTTTGCAGCCAATCAATGGAACCTTTTGCGACAGTATTAATACTCCATTCATACATTATCTAAACTGAGTGATCATGTTTACCATGCATGTTTTTGAAATGTGGGAGGAGAGCGGAGTATTTAAAATTGCACAATGTGAAAGCAATTAGCGGCCATTGGTGGCTCGAATGACGAAATTTCACCGTCAACGGCTAACCTGCTTTGTCATGGTTCTTTCTTTCAGCTTGTCCATGTGGCCTATGTCTTTGACAAAATGAAATCCTTCAAAAAGTTCCACCGCTTCAAATATGGTGTCACTAAATGAATCCCAACAAAAACACATTCGAAAAGATCCCCCATCCAACCGAAACCTATAAAATCCAAAATAAACCAAAATGTTTACACAGTCAATGCGTGATATGATAGAGCCTCTCATTGGGTAACACCTTCAGCCTTGTCTTAACGCATCGAAAATGTCTACATGCGCACATTAAAAATGCATTTGCATTTGCAACTTATATCCAGATGTGAACTCAAGTAGGATATGACATATGCCATCACACTCCTTCCGCATTGAGTTACCCTGAATGCACATTGCATTAGCTTGGAGGCAACACAGCAGCCTTGCCTTGCCTCACAAATAAAGGCCTTGGGTCATAATAAAATGTAATTAATGGAGCACTTTTGTAATGAGAAAAAAAAAAGCATGATCACTCCTAGGTTGGGTAACTGTAATGGTAATTTAACCATGAATAATTCACCTTGGAAAATGCACCGTGTTAATCATTTAAACCCCCAGAAAATATTAAGCAGGCGTCTGCTTGTTTTCATGTTTTGTCCATTTATTAGATTAAGCTATATTTTTCTTGTGACACACGTTTGCATCGAAATTATCTGACATATATGTGTCATTTAACTAAATAGCCTTGGATTTTATATTTGGTGTGGCAATATAACATTATACCGATACAGTTGAATGCCACAGCTCACATGCTTTTGGGGTTTGACAAATGTTCTCATTTTATTAGTTATTTTAGTTATTTCTAAGTTTAACATAAGCCCATGCATGTTTTGACTATTCTCGCTGAATTCTTTTCCCAGATCACTTTGCTCATACGCAGCAGTAAAGTTCACTGAAGATGAAGCAGGCTCTGTTTCAAGCTCTTACAAGTGAAGCAAAAGTTGCCATTTATTTTGAGGGGTTATCACGATGGACTGATATAACAATGACTCTTTATACTGATTCAAGTTGTTTTAGTAAACAGTGTGGGTTGCTATTTCTTCAACAGAGCACTTTGGTTCATGTGTGTGCGCTGTTTCATCCAACACTGCCACAATGATTGTCTTTATGTGGACATTGCCAGTAACGAAGGTTTACTGTATGCATAGAGGCCATCCATTCTACTGCTTCTATACTATCCATTTCATTTTCTGAACCGCTTAGGGTCACGGGCGTAGTGGAGCCTACCCCAGCTGTCTTCGGGCAGTAGACGGGGGACACCCTGAGCCGGTTGCCAGCCAATTGCTTCTATACGAAGAAATAATGTTTGTTAATTTGCACTGTGTTGTTTTGTTCCTTTAATGAATATTTGTAAATATTTAATGGGTCGAAAAACGTCACAACCCTTTTTTTTCTTTTCACGGCATGTTCTGATTCTGATTCTCTGTGAAATTATGTGTCATTGCTTAAGTATTACTTTCTAACAAAGTTTTTCTTTTTTCTTCCATAGGCTGCTCCGCCAAAGCGTTGTCGATGACTGAGATCTCTGCATACCATTATGGACAAAAAAAGTGGTGAGGGTCACCAGTGACGTTTATGGATAATAGATATTTTTGTTTCTATCTTGTTAAGCACAGCATGAATTATACATATTTACAGTATTTTGTTTCATGACACGACATATGCTGTACATTTTTTTAAATATAATACCGTAATTTCCTCTTCCTGCTGTGGCCAAACTGTTTATTTTTCACGTGAGTCATTTCATGTCACTTCACACAATTCCCAAGAACCTTCCCTATGCCACCTCTTCACATTGCCTGATGCTTATTTTATTAGTGCCTGATGATGTTAAATGAAAGAAAGTTTGAGCCTCCTAACTCAAACGTTTTTGGAATTATGGCCCACCAAAGTTTCAGTACCACACCCACTTTTGGGATCCAGGAATTCATCCCGCTATCTATTATCCACTTATCCCCATGAGGATCGCGGGGGTGCTGGAGCCTATCCCAGCTGTCTTCGGGCAGCAGGCGGGGTACACCTTGAACTGGTTGCCAGCCAAGCACAGGGCACACATAGACAAAAAAAACACTTGTGCTCACAATCACACCCAGGGCGGTTTTAGAGCGTTCAAACTTCCCATGCATGTTTTGGAATGTGTGAAGAAACCGGAGTACCGGGAGAAAACCCACACAGGCACAGGTAAAAAATGCAAACTCCACACAGGAAGGCCGGGGTACAGGGTCCGAAATGGTCATTTTGTCCCGTAGCCATTTTTGGACTCTAGTGTGTCATTTAAAAAAAAAATCACTTTTCAAGGGAAGGGTTAGTAGCTCTGACCATCTGAAAATGGTATATCTGTGCTATTGTTTAGTGCAGATTCTGATGGACAGGGTAAGAATATATTGATACTGGATAGCAATTTAGTCGTCTGTACCGACCTTAAAACAAAAGCTGAGGGTCTCTAAATATGCCCCAAAATTGCTAAAATTCCTCGATCCCAAAAGTGAGCATGGTATTCAAACTTTGTCGGGCCATAACTCAAAAACCATTTGAGCTAAACTTCGGATTCTTTCATTTGACGTCATAAGGCAGGGGCCCCCAACCTTTTTTGCCCCACGGACCGGTTTATGTCAGACAATATTTTCACGGACCGGCATTTAAGGTGTGACGGAAATAATACAACAAAATTATATGGTATGAGCTGCATAAAAACTGTGGCGTTTACGAAATATAATAATAAACACAAGGAACGTCTAATCTGGCCGCAACACTCCGATCGCTATGGCAATGTTTAATGGCTTCAAAATACGATACAAAGCACAATGAAAGTGCATGCCCCACCCCCCTCCCCCGCCTCACACAGGTAGGATGTCGGAAATAGCAACAGTGCTATTGTGGCCATCTCAGAGTATTCAGCCATAATTTTGATCCAGTTGTCTTGAACGTACTTTTAAGGCCGCCGTCATTTGCGATCTCCAGCAGTTTTTTTTACTCATTTTGCGAGCTCCCGCGTTTTGTTTTGAAGTAATCGGTCACTTGAAGGAGAAGCTTGGTTTGACGTGTGTCAAGCGTAACACAGACGGATGTAACGGAGAATCCGGTAGTTTTTCAAAATAAAACATCTTTCGTATTCCGAAATAAATGAAACAGAATTAAGGCAAGTTCTTTCTGTGCGGCCCGGTACCAAATGTCCGGCGGACCGGTACCGGTCCGCGGACCGGCGGTTGGGGACCCCTGTCATAAGGAACGAATAGTTTGTAGAATTAACATCAGGAAAATTGAAGAGGTGTAACTGGGGAGGGTGTGTGACTTGACATGGAATGACCCATGTAATAACTGTTCTCATTTCAAACTATTTCTGACGTTAAACAGCAAACATGAGCTGGATTTGCATGCTGAAACATTTGTTTTGGTGCGATCACTGCATAATAATTACTTCACAGTAAGGCATGTGGTTTTAGATATCAGACCACTACACCCACGTTTCTTCAAAAAATAAACGATACATCACGAAATGTATTTTGTCAACCAGTTAAAAAAGTTTATGCATGTTTTGTGTATAGAATTTCAGCTTTAATTAGTTGTTATACAGTGAGTGTTTGTTGGAGGAAAACGATTAATTTACTGTGATATTTTCCCATACCAGCCAATGGCTTTCAGACAATGGCCAGTGAAGGTGGTGTTCAGAGAAAGCAACTACCCTACTCTGTAGAAACACCTTACGGCTTCCACCTGGACTTGGATTTTCTCAAATATGTTGATGATATTGAAAAAGGCAACACCATCAAAAGAGTCCACATCCAGCGTCGGGTCAAGGGTCCTCCCAAATTCAGTACTCTGCCTCGAAATTTCAGTCTACCAGGACATGGGATCCGGCCAGTTCCTAAAGACAGCCCATGGTCTGGGACATCCACCTTGGGACCAAAACCTAAATTACGGTTAACAGAGGTTGCTCAGATCTCTGATGTAAGAGCAAATGAAGGAAGTACTTTAAGCCGAGGGACAGCAATCCAAGCAACAAGTGTTGTTTCAGCGAGGCTTCGAGATGAAGGAGTTCTGGGAGCTCCCAGTATTGAAGAAAAAATGATGGCCACTCAAGCTCGGCCCAACTTGCTTCGAGCATCAAGTATGCCCATTACCCTACAACAGCGGAAAGGTTCTGATTCAAGTAGCCCAGACCGTATTGTCGGAACACCAGAGAATGGCTCAACTGAAAATGTTTTTAGAGCATCAACGGATATAACAGAAAGAAGATGTGCTCCCCAAGAACGAGTGGGGATTCATCAGCAGATCACAGTGGCTTTGAAGCGCGTCAGAGAGCTTGAAGAACAGGTCAAAACCATCCCTGAACTTAAAGCTCAGATTTGCTCGCTAAGGTTGGAGAGGGAGCAGCTACTATGTCAACTTCAGGCCCAAGAAAAGGCCCAGACTTCCACATTATATAAAATGGTTCCATGTGATGATGCTGGGATAGGAACTCAAACGCAAGCAATCAGACAAGGGTTTAATTTGTCTCTGACACCACAACTTCAGAAATTGACAAGAAAGGGAGTAACTGAGGAAAAGAAACCGTGTAGCTCAGAGGCAGGTATTCTGCTTGAAAAAGAGCCTGAAAATCAAGGCCTGGCTAAGAGTTTGTGTCAGCAAGAATCTATTATTCAAACACAGCTGCCAGAAAAAGGTGACCAACAGAAAGAGACTGTAGGGAGTCCACTTGAGCATGCAGGGCAGGAAGATGGTAATGCAACGAAAGGAGATAATTTGGGGGACTCGGGTAATGTACAGAATTTGCATGAAAAGCTAGTATTACTGGAGGCTAAACTTCTAAAGGCTAGTCAAGAACTGGAGAGAACTAATGATCTGTTGAAAGAACAAATAGTGGAGAACCAAGTGAAAGAAGAGAAAATACTACAGCTTAGTGAGGGAATAAGAGTAGAGTTAAGTCCAATAGAAACAAGCAGCAAACCAAGAAGAGAGAGTATAGACACAGGCACAGAGACTGAGAGAGTAGACTATGCCAACCGGGAAACAGAGACAGAATCACCTGGTACAGTAGATCAAGGAACTGATACAGAAAGAATCTGTATTGAAGTGTGTGTCCCCCAACAAAGATCTGAATTTATCGATAAAGAAACGGAGACTACCAAAGTGGACACTCAGGACAAAGTGACAGAAGTTACGGCTGAAGTTCTTTTTGTTAGCCCACAATTGCCTGTAGTCAACAGCATGGAAAAGGATCTAGTGACTGAAAGAGCAACCGCAAAGAACCAGACGACTGAGACAATTGTAGCAACATCAGGAGAGGCAAACTATCCACAGAGGTCAAGGGCCAGCAGTGTTGATCGGGGGACAGAGACGGAGAGGGTGGACACAGTTGACCAGGTGACGGAGACAGAGGTGGCACAGATGAATGACCATCATACCGAGACAGAAGCAGAAAGACTGCAAAATAACAATCCAGTCAGCAATGCTGAAACAGAGAATCATGAGGTTGGAAATACAGACAATCAGAGGGATGAGGTCCATATTAGGGTCAGTGAAAGTGAAGAAGGAAAGAAAATAAATGAAAGATCCCAGACAGATCACAAAGGCAATGAAAATGTGGTGGTAAACGTTATCACAGATAGTTCTGCTTCAGTTGGAAGGAGTGGGATTAAAGAAGAAACTGTAGGTTCGGATTTTGTTAACCAGACTGAAGAGTCACAAGTTGTAATGGAAGAGCCCGCAGAAGGTATAACAGAAGTAAACCGTGTGCAAAATAAATCAGAAACAAAAGCAATATTACCGGTACTTTTAGACGGTGTTGAAACACAGAGTGTTGGAAATGCTTTGAGTACTGTCACTGTTGCAGTTGCATCAGAGCGTGCCACTGTGAAGACAGGAGTTCCAGTAAGACCTCAAAGAGGCCGTAGGCCATCAGCAGATCAGTCGCAACCAACACATCCTCAGCTTCAAGCTGCTTCCCTCTCTTCTGTTCGGGGATCTAGTGAAATTCACGGTCATCAGTCAAAGACTGAGTTTCAATCCTCTGCAGAACTCTGTGACCCACAGGTGAAAGATGTATCCCCAGCTCAGTCTCAGTCAGGGGACAACACTATGGAATCCTCATGCGTAAAAGAATCTGAATCACAACCTCAAACTGACTTTCAAAGCCCATCATCAAGCTCCAAGGAAGTCCAAATTCGACCAAAATCCATCCAAGCCCCATCTAAACCTACAACTCGACGGGATTCAAAGGAGCTGAAAGCACCCACGAGAGTATCTCGCGTATCACAGCCTTTAAGACGTGGATCCAGCGATAGCCACACACACCCAACACGCCGTATATCAAGCGAAGTCCAATCTCAGTCTCGAAGATTGTCCGATGAGAGTCAACCTCTTAAGAACGAACCTGAACTACAGACCTTATACAGAGGCTCCAGTGAAACAGCTCAACATCGGAGTTCTGGTGAAGCCATTGCCTCACGTTGTGACACTGACGAATCACCGCAGGTACGCAGAGGCTCAAGTGAGTCACCAACTTCGCCTGCAGCTTTAGGTCAAGTTGTAACCCGGATAACAGGGCTTCTGGGTGAGCAGTGGGCTCAGTTGGGGAGCAGTTCCGGAGCACAACCATCGGTCAGCCAGCAGAAGAGTCCCAGCACACAAAAACAGACGGCAGGGAAAAGCACAGAGGCAGGAAAGGGAGCCTCAGCCAAGCCTGCAGGAAAAGCAGCAACAGCAGGGAAACCAACTGGGAAGCCTGGCCCTTCCAAGATGAGCTCTATTCAGAGTCAGTTGGTCAGTTCCCTTAGTGTTCTTTCTGCCTTTTATTCACCAGGCTCAAAAGCTGCTGCTAACAAACAGCAAGATCAAGGTAAGCCCCGTGTCAAGTGTGTGACATATATTGTGAGGTACTCAGATGTGAATCTTTGTCCGACATACAAGAGAATATTATCTTGTCTCGGCTTTCCCTACATGATATGACCAACATATCACACAGTAGATAATGTCCTGTTCACAAAAGCCCCTCTTCTAGATTTAAACAGTTAAATGGCATGCTGCCTTGATGTCTCAAAAGTCAGTTTACGGCCCAAGAGCTGAAGTACAAACTATCACACACATTTTACGTCTGAGTTCAACTCTACATTTTATTCTACCGATCCGAGTGTTTTGGCATGAGAAATAAATTTAAAATATATTCAGTTATTTAATTTCACAGCACAGGTACAGTGCCTCTGATAGAGAGAGGCAGTTTCTTTTCTTCAAAGCCACATCCTTCTGTCTTGCATAAAACACGGCAGACCCTTTACATCAAGACTAAGATTAGGGACATGAAAAACGACCATCCTGGGTTTCGAGCCCATACGGGTCAGCAATAGATCCCATGGAAAATCAATTTCATTGCTGTTATATACAGTACATTATAGGGCCTGTCAAGCTTGTTCGTGATCACGAGGCGTAGACAAGATATATGCTGGACTGTAGACAGAAACACACAATGGACATACATATCGTGGCACACCTTACTCAATTATTTATTCAGGGCTAAATGTAAATTCTTCAGCTCTGGCCCTTTTTGGTTCAAGTATGATTATGGACTTCTCTCAAAAACACTCAAGACTTTTTTTTTCTTTTTTTGTGGAAGCATACCGGTGGTTATCTTCACAATTTTTTGGGGGGGGGGGGGATGATTTTTCTGAAATTTGCAGAGACCCTAAGTCCAGAAAGTCTTGTGTAACGTCGCCGAAGGTGCAGAGAGTGCAACCTCAATTTGAATGCAAGGAAGCATGGATGGAAGGATGGATTAAGTGACAGAAAAACGAAATGTACTTTGAAAAACTCGAATCATTTTTTTTCCGTTTGTCATGTTCTGCCCTTCTCCCCAGGTCTCAGATCTATTATGAAGAAAAATGGGGCTGTTGACAAGCAGGGAAATAAGGGAACCAAGAAAAACCTGAAGTTTGTCGGGGTGAATGGAGGGTAAAATCTGTTTATTCAGTGTTCCAATGTATCGGCGGTTTAACAGCCTAATTTAGGTTGCATTCGTGCGGGTCTGTTTCTTTCTCTCTGTGTGGTTGATCTGATCATCATTTGTCTTTCCCTGTCCAGATGTTTGCATACTTGCAAAGCAATGGAATATCCAATATAATAGATTAAATGCACTTTAACAGCAATGAATATGTTGCATTCTGTTATACTTGAGGCTATGTTAACACTGTGTTCCCTGCGGTCATGGCAGCACCATTTGTCCAAAATATGGTGCACCAGGCGTTTTGGGGTGTTTTTCAATCAGGATTCAAGTTTTCTGACAGTCATGATTGGATTCCTGTCATATGTGGTGTATTCCTAGATATGTATTTTTGTGTTACAGTCGTGGCAGAGTTGAGGACCCAAACACAGAGAGGTAGGTGAAACCAGGCAGGAGTGAGTGCAGGGTGGACTGAACAAAACAGTTCATTACCAAAAACAAAACAAAAAAAAACAATAGCAAGGGTACTGGGGTAAAATCGAAATACAAAACTCAACAAAGTCCTGATAAAAATCAAAACTCAAAGCAACAAAAGAATCACTTAAGAAACAACACTCACCACTACAAGAATCAATGACTGGACAAGTGTACGTGACAGCAACATTGATCGGACAAAGACTGAAAGAAACCAGGCAACTAAATACAAACAAAGTGACGAGATGATGAACACCTGGACAAGAAACAAGTGGCTGAGGGAGCTGATCGGAAGACACAAGGGACTGGGCTGGCGAGAACACGTGGACACAAACAATTAATGAGACAGACAAGACGTGGGGGGAAAAAAGGGACACAGGAAAAACATGGTCAAACTAAAACCAATCAAAACCACATCAGCAGATCCTCAAATCATGACATGTGTATGCCTTTTGGTCATTGTCTGTCAGGCGCCAGATACCTTAATTTCCCCAACGGGGTTAATCAAGTATCCATCTATCCAATCCGGCTCAGAGGTGCACTCCACAGTTTGATGCTAGTACCTCTCTTCGCGGCCTGTCATTTTCTGATGGAATCCAGAGATGAATGAAGCTCCCCCGCATGCCCCATAGTTGGTATCAGCACGGATCAAAACACACTGTATTGCCTCTCTATAAATTATTAATAATGTTAATTTTCCATCCACAGCTAATTCACAAATCCATCTCTTCTGCCAAATCATGCTAATCATACACACTGTCTGCTGCATTGGGAGAAAATGCTTTCTCTCTCTCTCTCTCTCTCTCTCTCTCTCAACCACACACACACACAAAGCAACAGAGCAAAAATTTCATTTATCATCGGCTTTCTCCACTGAACAAGGCTGTGTTTTGTTCACGGGGACCCACGTGCGCATGTTAACTATACTTTAAATAGAGTTGTATTTACCTGTCTCACTGCAAAGGATGGTTTGGATGTGGGGGCCAATGTTGCATTAAACAAGCATCTTTTCATTTCAAGGGCATGACCTTTTAGTGCCTATCTAACCAAAGCCCGTGTCGACTACGCTGATTGCTTTCATATTAGTATTTGCAGCTTCGGTGTTGCTGTGATGTGGTTGCCTCTATATTTGTTCAAAGGCTGTAACATTCGGTTGGCCACATCCTTCAAAACTCATGGCAGACAAAATGTTATCTGTGAAGATTTGGTGGTGGAGGTACAGATGCAAATGCATGAAGCCAGGCATCTATATAGGCGGGAAATTCAAATACAGTTTGTGTTAAAGTGAAAAATGGACCAAAAGCACTAGATACAGGTTAAATATATGAAAAAAACCCAATAATAATAATCAGGCTGCTGGAGCACAAAGCACACAGCGGTAAGACAGGCCCCAAATAATGATGACCAGTCTGTTGACCAGTCAAAGTCTGAGTTGACATGAACAAACTAAATAAGCAATGAGGGCAAGAGTTGATTGGAAGACATGTGACAGGACGAGACAGATGAAACTACGACACAAAAGAGCAGCCACTCGGGAGTGACACGAAAAGAAAGCACAAGGCAATGGGTAGTCCAACTAGATTTTAAACGGCTTCAACAATGTGAGTGTTTCAGATTGCGTTTGATGTTATCAGTGAAATCTAGAACAAACTGGGAGGGCTGATCAACAATTGTTTCAGTTTAGCTCATCTTGATGGACTTGCACATTTACACCAGACCGTCATCGTGTTTCATCTCACTGCCAACAAATGTAAAATGACAATTAGTTGTTGGAGAGATGCTACTCTTGTTGCTACTTGATCATTATCAAGGTGTCCTTGAGCAAGGCACATTCCTCACCCCTGCCAGCTCAAGAGGCGTAGCACCACTTGCACGGCCCTTATACACTGACATCTCTCCTTGCATGCCTGCATGTGTGTGACATGTTTCTTTGTGCGTTTTGCAAGGAAAAATACACAACAGACGGTGTGTTAAATTTGCCTCGATGGGATTGGAATGAGAAAATAAAACAAAAAGAATGGTTACCATTGTGATTTTGATGTTTCTTGCCAGGTATGAGAGCACGTCGAGCGACGAGTCCAGCGGAGAGGAGAAGGAAACAATGGATGTCAAAGGAGAGGGGGGCAGCTCAGAGGCAGAGGAGGAAAAACTCAAAGAGGCTACTTCAGCAGAAAAGCCTGAGGAGGGAGCAGATGCGCATGGGGAAGATGCTGAAATCTTGCATGCTGAAGAAGGTGCGGTAGCTGCACAGAAAGAGAGCAGCAAAGATCTGCTGGATCCAGACACTAGCCAGGAGCTTCTGGGGCTAGAGGATGAAGGGTGAGATATATTTAGCTGACGTATTTTATTGCGCACTTGAAATATTTTTGCATTTTTTTCAAACTAATTATCGATAAACTCGTGTATGGTTGTTCATCCTGGCATCAAAAAAGATATACAATGTGTCTTGCCAAATTACCACTGTTACCAATTAGTATCTTGACCTTTCTCATGGATATGACGGTGTCAAGTGAGGCCCAAAAAGGTATTCATTGGGTGCCCTCTGCTTCTATGGGACTCTGACACTTACATGTATACAAAACTACAATAATACCTGTATACAATACACACTTTTCTTCAAATTCCACACACCAGAGAGATACAGTATTAATTATGGTTTTTAAAAGCAGCGATAGTGTTCCGAGTTCCTTATTGTTAGTGTCTATTGGACGTTTGAGGCCCAGGCTGATAGCTGTGTGGCAGCTGCAGATGACACTTGGTGTATTGAGTCAACAATGGACTGGATGCATGCAGTGACAAGGTCTGATCAAAGACCGGCTGGATAGTGGATCCCAAAAATGCAGACTCAGATCAATGGCGAGACAAAAAGATTGATTTAAAAAAAGCGAAAGACCAACAAAGTAGAAACAGAAATTGCTGGCCACAAAGAGCCAGGAAAACCAAATGAGAACAAAAAGCACTTGCAAATGGTCAAGTTGGGAACCGAAAACCCACAAAACGACATGACAAGAGTCCAAATACATAAACATAAAACGAGTCAACAATAGCTTGACAAAAAGATACTTATAAAACCAAAATCTATCATGACAAAAAGCGACTATGAGTGAGAGCATGAGGTCTAGAAAATGGCACTTGGGCACGAACAGTGAACGAGGTCAATAATCCGACAAACACTCTGCATCTTGGAAGTCCTTAAATACACTGAAGCTTGATTGCATGACGAGGCACAGGTGCATCGCTGAAGGGTCACGCCCAACACTCCAGCTGGTGCTGAAACTAAAACAAAGCAGAGCAGAACATGACACGCAGCTTTGTGACTCGTCGGGGAGCTGAGTAAGAAAGGAAAAGACGGATTCCCGTCATTGATTCAATGTTGCAACAGTTCAACTGTCTCGACGAATGTCTAAATTTTCTCCTCTGTAGTACCGGCTTCCTGGTGAACAATAAAAAGCTGATCGGAATGGTCAGCACACCACAGAGTTGGCTGGAGGAAGGATTTGAAAAAAAGTCACAACTTCAGAGGACATTTGCACCTTGAACAGCACCAGTTCCGAGCTTTTGATTATTCCCATTACAAAAACCCACATTAAGACAATTTGAATGAATGAGGTTATTTTTTCCTCCGTATGGCGTCCCGGTAGCTTGAAATAAATGGAAAGCGGCAGCTCCTACGCCTCATGTGTTTTCCACCAGAAATATGTCATGAAGTGCCGAGCATAGAGTCCGTTGCGTGATAGTCCTGAACACTGTAAAAGTGTGAGACCGATGGTCTTGGAAGTTAAAAGCTACAGCGATAGGATGTATGATGGAAAATAAGTAGAACATAGTGAAAAGCATTTTACATGTGCATCCCCACTGCAGTTTACATACTGCATGCCATTAGTGTCAGTCTGCCGATCATATGTATGTGTGTGTGTTTCTACTGCTTTTATCTTTCATTTCTCTTTGTTTCAGAGTTAATTAGACTTCTTTGTAAAATGCATCTTGGGAGATGCATTACATATTCCTACACATTTCATGATATTCAAGTTTAGCTCCTGAATGTTTATAATGAAGCCGTTTCCTGGTGGTTCATTTCAGGGAAAAAGTTGACAAGAGTTTTATAGATGCCTGCCTCTATGTCAAGGATCGCATGGAAGAGGTTACATCTCCAGATAAAGAAATGGTAAGGATTTAAAATGAGTGAAAACGCAGTGAAGTTCATATTTTTATGTGAATTGCCTTTATAAGTGGCTCTCTTCAAAATGATAGCCAATGTTTTCTGACCAAAAAGTCCGCAGTCATTTTGCTTTTTCACAAACCAAGCTTATTTTCCAAACATCCATGTGGAATGGAAATGCATGCCATGACTCATTTTTTTCCCCTACTTGGTGAATATTTCTGTTGCTGGGAACAATATGCCTTGTCATGTCTTGTCCTGTATTACATTTTTGCAAATGTAATTAAAAAAACCCACACAACCCCCCCCCCCAAAAAAAAAAACAAAAAAAAAAACAAAAAAAAAAACAAAAAAAAACCAAAATGTAGTTTGAAGACAAAGCTTCAGGCTCTTTGAAAGGAATAATGTGGAGTAATGAGATTCACTCAGCAGGTTAATAACCAGCTGCTCAGTGTCAACGGAAAAATAATATTAAGCCAACACTATTTATAGCTCATATACTGCAGCTAATGCTGTTTTTCAATCTATATATTCTCTCACATTTCTCTCCAGCGTCAAGTTTTAGTGGTTCTGTACCAGGAATGGTTCAAAGTTTCCAGTCAGAAAACTTCGGAGGCCGATACCGTCCGATTATACCTGCGCCAAGTGGGATTGACCACACCGACTCTCCTGCCATATGTTGTAAACCTGACCGACGGCAACGGGAATATGGCGCTCCACTACAGTGTCTCGCATTCAAACTTCCCCGTGGTCAAACTGCTGCTTGATACTGGTGAGCTGCGAGTCACGACACGGATATGTTTAGCCGAAGACATTTTAGGCTACCGTTTGAACCCCTCATCCTTGCCAACTCTCACTACATCTATCTCTTATTTTCATTTGTTTCTGTTCAGGACTTTGTGAAACGGACAACGTGAACAAGGCAGGCTACACGCCAGTGATGCTGGCTGCATTGACAGCTGCTGAGAGCCCTGACGATTTGGAGGTCGCGCAACAACTGCTGAGACTCGGTGATGTTAACGCGCGCTCCAGACAGGTGAGGAATTCCATGTACCAAAGCAAGGTGAAATATTGTTTCGTGGCGAATCACGTTATTGTGTGGAGTGATTTTCTTTTCACATTCAAACTTTTGAACTTTTTCTCTTTGCGAGAGCAAAAATAAATATCTATTCATCGAGAATGCTGACTGACTGAATATTTATAGGTCTCGCTCTCTCTTTTTTTCTCTCTGTCTCTCTGTCTCTGTCTCTGTCCATCCGTCCATCCGCCCATCCATACATTCATCAATATCTCCATGTTCCACCTTTGATTGCATGCTCTCCCCCTGCTTGTTTTGGACATTTTTCAACATTTCAAAAAAAACCATGTACGTTCAGGACTTTTAATTTGCCGTTGGTCAAAATGTGTGTTTGAATGATTGTCTAGAAGAGCAAAAGTGCCCATGCGATTGGCTGGCAGTTGAGTTCAGGTTGTAAGAATGTCCATCCATTTTCTTCCACTTTTCCTGTTCAGATTAACATATGAGTTTGTCCCAGCTGAGTTTGGCTGTGTGGCAGGGAACACTGCGGACTATCACCACTCAATCACAGAGCCTATGTAAACAAATAGTCATTCACGTTCACAGTGGTTTCAGATTTTTACGGGTTCTGACTTAATCGACCAGCTAGTTCAGTGCTCCGCTGGGTTCAGTTCTATGGATCTTCTTTTTTTACCACTGTTACAGAAGATCATATTGAAAACATGACCACTTCTAGACACTGACACAGACACAAATATTAAGCTCACTTTTATGATCTGTCCCTTTCATCCACCATCCCCTTCGTGAGTCTCCACTCTGCACCTTGACTTTGTTCTTCCGTCCTCTTTCTTTCTGTTTTTTTTTTCTTTTTTGCTCTCCTGAATACCTGGAACCTCAAGGTTTAATTTAAATTTCACTGTTCATCTAGATGGGTCAGACAGCACTGATGCTTGCCGTGAGCCATGGCCGTCTTGCCATGGTGAGGCTGCTGCTCAGTTGTGGCGCAGATGTAAATGCTCAGGATTATGAGGGCTCCACGGCCTTGATGTGTGCCAGCGAGCACGGCCACACTCACATTGCCGGCCTGCTGCTGGAGACAGGTCACTGTGACACCAGCCTCACAGATAAGGTATTGTAGCATTGGCTTTATATCACTACAGGAAATAAAAGATGATATATTATCAGTCAGATAGTAAAAGTCAGCCTCCCTACATAGTATATCTTGTTTTTACCTTGTGAGATTCAAAAGCTCTGCACTACATCTTGAAAACAACCGGTGATGTAGGCAAACCCAATTTTATCCTCCTCTCATTGTATATTATATTCAGGGATTTACACTTTATTTACTGTTCTGTGACATTCATTCTATCATAACTACATACAAGTGTCATGTGCACAATAATAGAGAATACGAAAGAAAATTTGATGAACTCGTGAGACAGCAGCTCGATTAAAATTAAACCCAGTACATCCCACTTCTTTTACCGCGCAAACAAAGTCAGTGGGCAGTCAATCTAGTCTACATTGTCGACCACATATGTTCACTTGAAATATTTTCACCATTGTCTTTGAAAAATAAAGCATGCAGAAGGAAACTCAATAATCCCAAGTTATTAAGGATTATTAAAATAATAAAATAAATGTAATTTTTTAAATATGAGTAGCCTGTTATTGGGCAGTGAACCATACTGGGTCACTTAAACTCAAAATGGACAGCACACGCAGATATGGCCTATCACCATGGGAAACCATCCCGCAGTCTATCAGCACAGAAATTGCAGTCATTAAATATAATGAACTGCAAGGTATATTGGTATAAAAATAGTGTTTCACCTTTACAGAACGACGAGAAACCTAATCTAAAAAGTTATTTGACATCTATAAATGCCAAATAAGATTCTCTTGGCTCTTCGAATAACGAGAGAGCTAATAGGACAGCCTCACTTAGCACAATACCGCCACCATCAGGAGCAGAACGTTCAATGCAGGTACTACAACAACCACCCTGCTCTCTGATCCTTGTGAATGTTTGCTCCAGAATGGACAGACCGCGAAGGAGGTGGCAGAAGGATCTTCCCACCCAGATGTTGTTGACCTCATCAAAGCCCACGACCAAGCAGAGTCTGGCCACTGAGCTAAAGTGACTATCCTCCAAACCGGCTCCCGATGTTACAACCACAGAGCAGAGAATGCTGAAAAAAAATGATGCACCTAAATGCCCCCCTGCCCCCCCCCCCTCCTCCCCCGCCCCTGCTCAGTGCATCGGTGCATTTTTTCCCTTGAAGCTGCGGGAGCTCACAAGCAAACTTCAGAGACAGATTGCTCATATTTGCTTCCATATCGCAGTCAACACGTTGCCTGAGGTTCTCATAGATATGCTGCATCAACTTCCCGTGGACACCAGAATAGTCGCCTTGATTAAAAGAGGTCACGTGACAGCAAAAAGGATTTTTACATCCTGGGGAATAAAATGAGAATTTGCTGAGCGACATGTAGATGGAAAGAGACTAACTGCAGCCTCTTTATAATAATCTGCAACCGTAACACTAAGCACAGAATCTACCTTTGAAATATATATATATAGTACAATATGTAGGATATACCCTGACAATTCAGTAGATATATACGTATATATTTTATCTCCATTGACATATTTTTGAAAGGCAGAGGTAAGCCATTATTCAAAGCATATATGTCGCAATATTGCATCAGAACCTAAGTGTATACAAACACAGATTGTGTATTTTCTACTATGTTTCAATTTTTATTTTTTAGATATTGTTTTGTAAATACTCAGATCAATGTCCAGACCTTTAGCTGAAGTATTACTACACATTTTTTTAAAAAGTAATATCATTGTTTCCCGTCACCCAGCTGATATTTTACATGCATTCAGTGTCTTACCGGTATTTTATAACAATAATTAAATGTGTTTTGCGTGCGTGTGTGTGTGTGTGTGTGTGTGTGTGTGTGTGTGTGGGTGGGTGTGTGTGTGTGGGTGTGCGTGTGT